AAAAAGAGATCCCACTATTATAAAAGCTAAGTGGATCTGGACAAGAGAAGCCCACAAAATTGAGAAAAGAAAAATTTGAAAACCATAGGTAGCCCTCCACTTCCAACAGTTCATTTATTGACCGTCAAAAGTTACAATGGCACTGAAAAAAGTAACTTATGACTGTTTTCACACTTATGACCGTTGCAGCATCCCCAAAAATCAGATGCTTGGCAACTGGTTCATATTTATGATGGCTGCAGTGATCTGGGATCACCTTTACGAGTTTCTGACAAGCAAAATCAATGGGGAAGCCAGATTGACCTAACAATCGTGTTATTAACAACTGCAGTGATTCACTTAACAACTGTGGCAAGAAAGGTAATAAAATGGGATATGTTGAAAATTCTCTTAACAACCGTTTCACTTAGCAACATGAATTTTGGTCTGAATTGGCAGTTGAGGACTACCTATATATTCTTTTTAAGCAGATCATCGAAAAGAATTCTTCTAACATCAGAATGCATACTTGACCATTATTCTGAACGATCAAGAAGATGCATGCAGTACCTTTTCCTTCTTGGATAGTGAATCATCATCTTCATCTTTGCGAGAGTCTCTATCTTTTCTTGATCTGGAATCTTTGTTCCGACTTGGGGAAGTGCTCCTGAAGCAAAGAGAGAAAAGAATCAGAAGAGAAGCAACTTTGCTCCGTTGCAGTCAGAATCCATACATTTTGCCTGTCACTGATAAAACAAAAAATATGTGACTTTTAGGCCTCTCTCTCCCTTGGGAAGAATATCATTCTGTTTCTGATATCACAAAGCACAAGTATGAAACAATCTCCTGATCCCCTCCCAAGCTAGGATTCTTAAGTAATCCAAAATTACTGCCATAATTCAAAAACCAAACCAGCAATTCCAACTGCAGTGAGAAATTTTCAGAGATATTTTAAAAACAACATAAGAAGTCTTTAACTTTCTCTCAATATTGGAAACTAATAATTACTGTAGGTTCAGAAATTGGGTTTTGAAGGCATTCACTATATTTTAAAAACCAGGTATAATAGAACAACCAGGATCATGCCCATGCTTCTCTCTAGCTATCAGCGCTAGGCTTTCTTTTGACACTGGACTTCAAAAAACATTGAAGAAAAGTAATAAAGTAAATCACAAGGCCCTTTCTGAAACTGAAGAGAAAGTCTTGGAAACTCGTGCGTGTGTGTGTTCTCTCTCTCTCTCTCCCCCTCCCTCTCTCTCCATATTACTTGTAAAATGTAATCTCAATTTCCAAATATTCCAAATACTCATCTACCAGAAAATATCAAGAATGAAAATGTTTAGCCCTTTCCCAAAGCTGCAGTTGGAGGGTTTATTGAAGGGTTTATTACTTATCTTTATTGGAGGGTTTAGAGACCCTCACAAAATTGGAAAGAATTTAACACCATTTCAGTAAATGAAGCATATAGCAAACAAAATTATGTGACCAAACTATTAAAATATACTCCACAGATTTCCTAAATGTATTTATCAATTACGACTTCACTTTAAATGCAAACCTTGGGCCAAGACAAGAAAAATGCATTTCAGTGCCCTATGCAAAATATGTGTATTAGAAGACCAGTACTGGTATTAAAAAAAACCCATTCAGCAAGAAACATTGGTCCAGTTAACAGTTGATTTCTGAATAGTGAGGAGCCAGCAACAAATTTTCTACTTCTATCATTATAGCTGGAATACAATTTCAGCTAGTGTTGTCTCTTAAATCTTGAATAAAATATATTTGATTTCTTAATTCTTGTAAACCACTGATGGTTATCTCTAGGCTTCTCAATATTGTTGCATCACACTAAGCATCTCTCTAGAATTACTGCAACATCTCGGAAGCAGCTTCTTTCTTTCTGTCAAAGAAAGCAATGTTTTACCTGGATCGTTTTCGGTCTTTGTCTCTTCGATGCCCATCTTTATCACGATCTCGATCTTTCTTATTGCGTTCTCTTTCCCTCTCTTTATATCGCCGCTCTCTACAAACAAACGATTTGCAAGAAGAGTGCCTCTAAATACATGTAGCTCCAGAACTTTACTGTCATCTGCTAAAATCCTGGAGTTTATTTACCATTCAAACATCAAATTCAGAAAACAACCTTCTCTATCATCTCCTCATACCCACCAAACCAACTTCTGCTGAAATATAATTGTTGAATTTACAGAGGAGACAGAAAAACAGAACACAGAAATTGTCAACAAATCTATAATACATGCACACATGATGTCAATTTTTATAATTTGATAGAACTTAATTTGACAATGGACATAAAAATCACACTTATTTGGCAAATTAAAGTAATCCCAACTACTTCTTTTACTGTTGTGTTATCATTCAAAATGGATCAAGTCAAATTATTCCAATTATCCCTGAAAAAGCTACTTCTCAATACAATGATGCAAATTACCTCTCAGTTGATTTGGACCTAGATCGGGATCTTGATCGACTACCCCTCCTCCTGTCACGAGAGCGGTGTCGTTTTCTGTCCTTAGCAACAGGGGAGGCTTTTCTATCACGCTCCCGGTCACGCTCTCGTTCTGCTGACCGTGAGCGTCTCCGCTCTTCTTTGATTGGGGAAGAATCTCGCTCTCTCTTTTCAATGGTTTCCCCAGCCATCTAGATTAAGAGGATTATATTAATATGTGGAAGAAAAGGAAAACGGTGAGAAGAGAGAATGCAATAGTCCATTCTTGCATGTAATTGTATCACATCTTCATGCCTGTAATCCTAAAGAGGAATCCATGATATCTTCTTTATAAGATGTAGGCCTGATAGGGAACATAGAAAGCTACAGGTAGTCCTTGACTTACAACAGTTCATTTAGAGACCAGGTTACAACGGCACTGAAAAAAATGGCCATTTTTCAAACAATTGTTGCAGCAGCCCCATGGTCACGATTAAAATTTGGATATTTATAATGGTTGCAGTGTCCTGGGGTCATGTGATCATCTTTTTCAAACTTCTGACAAGCCAAGTCAATGAAGGAACCAGATTCATTCAACAACCATGTTACTAAATTAACAACTGCAGTGGTTCATTCAATAACTGTGACAAGAAAGATTGTAAAATGGGGCAAAACTCATTTAAAAACTGTCTCACTCACTTAGAAATTTTGGGTTCAATTGTGGCTGTAAGTTTGAGGATTACCTGCAGTTAATATAAAGCAAACCCATCTGACAGGCAACTTTCCAATATTTCAAACACAGGTAGTTCTCGACTTACAACAGTTCGCTTAGTGATGGTTTGAAGTTACAGCACCGAAAAAAGTGACTTATTATTTTTCACACTTATGACTGTTGCAGCATCCCCATTGTCATGTGATTTACATTCAGATGCGTGGCAACTGGTTCATATTTATGACGGTTGCAGTGTCCCGGGGTCATGTGATCACCTTTTGCAAACTTCTGACAAACAAAGTCAATGGAGAAACCAAATGCACTTAACAACTGCGTTACAAATTTAACTGCAGTGATTCCTTTAACAAATGGGGAAAGAAAAGTTGACAAATGGGGCAAAACTCGCTTAACAAATTTCTCATTTAGCAACATAAATTTTGGCCTCAATTATGTTCATAAGTTGAAAACTACCTGTAACT